TGCAATACTATAGACTCTTTAATTCGACTTCTTGAGGCGTCCTTCTGTGATTCGCGGGGTACATTACAACACATTGCCATCTCAACAGTGTTAAGCCTTCTGATCTGTGACCATTGGCTATTTCCCCTATGATTTATTTAGATCTTTACATAATTTTGGGGGAGTTCACCCCTTTTTTCTCTTGCCTCTATTAATCAGGGAGAAATAAAGAGCAAGGAAAAAGGATGGCATTATTTCAAGGCTTGTACTCATTTTTATTAAAGATTTGCAATGTCCAAATATATAAATCCCCACCCAACCACACCCCAATTCTTTCCATTTCCAAAAATGCAAATCAAATTTTGGCAATAAAAATGTTTAATGGTTATTATTACTAGAAATTAATTTCAGGGAAAATGTGGCTATGCCCTAGCGCTAGCCGGTTTGGCTCAGTGGATAGAGCGTCGGCCTGTGGACTGAAGGGTCACGGGTTCAATTCTGGGCAAGGGCACATGCCTGGGTTGTGGGCTTGACCCCTGTTAGGTTAGGTGGCTCAGGAGGCGGCGAAGGAAATACAGAGAGTTGATCAGAAAAGGAAGGAAGGAAGGAAAGTTTATTCTGCGTCCCAGGGAGACCCACGTACTCCCAAGGACAGGGCACGTGGATTCACGCCAATAGGGAGGGGGCGCTTTTTTTATACTGCGGTTGGGTGAGGGGCGGGGACATGAGCTGAGGTATTCAGCTGAGGAAGTTTCAGCTGCAGGGGGTCAGCAAGGTATTCAGGAAGGAGTCAGTATCTGTGTGGGGGTCGGTGTTGATTCAGGGAGAAGCCAGTATCTGTGTCTGGCACGCTGATCTGTTAGAAATGCCAGGGGGAGTCCATTATCTCGTCACACATCTGCATGTATCGATCCTGGGCTCTCTCCGACCTAACAATCCCCAGGAGGGGGCATGCAGGAGGCAGCCAATCAATGATTCGCTTTCATCATTGATGTTTTTACCTCTCTCTCCCTCTCCCTTCCTCTCTGAAATCAAGAAAATATATTTCAAAAAAAGAACCACCTCCTCTTACCACACAACCACAGTAATTGAAGCACCTTGGAGAACAGCATGAAGTAGCCTCAGCAAAGCGACCAGCTCTCCCTATTTTTTTTCCTGTGAGAAGTAGAGCATTTTCTGCCCAGATGGGGCCACAGCTGGAACCATACAATTCCCAGGGCAAGTACCAGCAGGGTGTGGAAGGGCAGGGATGCAAGGTAATTTCTGCAGCAGCAGGTTCCTGAAGTTCAGCCGTGTGAGAGAAGAGACCAAACACGTGCATCTTCCCCAGTGAACTCGAATTCTTAGTAGGAGGTCATTTATTTGAGGGTTCTCGAGATGGGAGAGGAAACAAAATAAAAAGCCAGAGGTATTCCAGAGTAGAAAATCAGAATGATTTCTAGAAAAAATGCCCCGAGACTATTGTTTTCCAGATAGCTGTGAAAAGGGAGGTGAAAAAAAGATGATGAAATGCAAATATATTCTCCATCTCAGTTCTTCATGGTGAATACCCACAGACCTTTCTTCCTGCTGTGTATGGTGACTGATGCTGCTCCTCCCCGTGTGGTCCTCCTGGTAAGCTGAGTCCTGGGTGAAACGTGTGCCCTCCTTTCCTCTCTCCATTGAGGTCACCTGTGGTTCTGTGGCTCTGCCCTAGGCTGCCTGTGTCAGATGGCCTCCAGGTTCTTCTGTGTCCCAGGCTCGATGGGGTTATTGCTGCAGTTTGGGTGGGGCTGTTTGTCTCGGAGGAAACTAAAGGTGAGCATTTATTTCCTCAGGGACTGGAGAGAGGCAATGGTCAGAGCCAGGAATCTGACCTGGTTCATCCAATGAAGAGGATGTCTGGCAAGGAGTGATTTCATCATTGTCAGAATGAATGTTATGCTCGTATCACAGACTCACCAATCAGGGGGGTTATTACTTCGATGAAACCCAGATTTCTAAGTCTCCTTATTGTGGATTAAACAGTGTAACCACAAATAAGTGACTGAGTCACAAGTGAGAAAACCTAACCGCCTACTTGTATTTTCCAAGGAACATTTTCTCTCTTTAATTAAAAATGTCTTTTAAATTGTGTTAGGTCGGAGAGAGCCCAGGATCGGATACATACAGATGTGTGACCAGATAATGGACTCCCCCCTGGCATTTCTAACAGATCAGCGTGCCAGACACAGATACTGGCTTCTCCCTGAATCAACACCGACCCCAACACAGATACTGACTCCTTCCTGAATACCTTGCTGACCCCCTGCAGCTGAAACTTCCTCCCTGTTGGCGTGAATCCACGTGCCCTGTCCTTGGGGGTACGTGGGTCTCCCAGGGATGCAGAATAAACTTTCCTTCCTTTTCTGATCAACTCTCTTTATTTCCTTCGCCGCCTCCTGAGCCACCTAACAAATTGTTTTTTAAATTCTTTTAAAACATGTGTTGTTGTTTTTTTTACATGTTGTTAATCCTCACCCAAGGATATTTTCCCCGTTGATTTTCAGAGAGAGTGGAAGGAAGGTATAGAGACAGACAGAAACATGGATGTGAGAGAGACACATCCATTAGTTGCCTCCTGCAGGTGCCTGCCCAGGGGCTGGATGGATCCTACAACCAAGGTAGTGCCCTTGACTTGAATGGGACTCATGAGCTTTCAGTCCAAGGGCTGATGCTCTTAACCACTGAATAAAGCCAGCTAGGGCTAAATATGTTTTTATTGTCATAGAGGAAGGCAAAGGGAGAGGGAGATAGAAATATCAATGATGAGAATCCTCCAGGGCTGCCTCCGCCCCCTAATGGGGATCAGTCCGCAACCCTGGCAAGTGCCCTGACTGGGAATCAAACTTTGACCACCAATGAGCCACGCGGGAGGGTATGTCAGGAACATTTTTTAAAGTTAACCATTCTTCCCAACCGGCATGGCTCAGTGGTTGAGTGTTGATGTATGATCCAGGAGGTCACAGTTTGAATCCTGATCCGGGCACATGCCCGGGTTGTAGGCTCAGACCTCAGTGTGGGGTGTGCAAGAGGCAGCTGATCAATGATTCTCTCTCATCAGTGATGTTTCTGTGAGACCCATGCCGAAAGGAGCCAGGCCAAGAGACGTTGTGAGAGTTTAAGAAACTTTATTACCTTGTCTCACAGCGGCTGAGACTATTGTGTGGGCGTCAGCCGGGCAGAGTAGGGAGAGCAGGATATTTATGTCTCTAGTGAAGGTCAGTCAGAGTAACCAGTCGGACCAGGTGCAGGTGGGGGCCAGGTGTAGGCGGTCCGCTGGGAACTGGGTGAGGCGGTTTACTGCAAACCGAAGACTGGTATCATGAAACCTACAATGAGAATGATAGGAAAATCGCAGGGAGGGGCAAGAGCCCCTAGCAGGGCACAACGGAGTGCAAGAATGTGCCTAACAGTTTCTATCTCTCCCTCTCCATTCCTCTCTGAAATGAATACAAATATATATATATTAAAAAGTCAACCATTCTAAATATCCAGAAGTCACCTTTATTTTTCCACGGAAAGGATGGCTTGTTTTTGGTTTCAATGCTCTTTTTGGGAATCTGACTGTAGTTCTGGAAAGATACCCACCTAATGCATCCCTACCTGAGCCTGTGCACCTTTTTGTAAATCCACACGTCAGACTCCAGTGTCAACAAAGATGAAAATGGAGCCAGATTCCTTAGGTGCCTTTTCAGTGTGTGTGTTTGCAGGGAAGGACCACTGTTCCCTGGGGACTCTCAGCGCTGCCTCTCAGTGCAAACGTCCCTGGACAAGAGATCTGGCTGCTTTGGGCTCAGGCCTGTGCTCCTCAGGCGCTAGGGGGCGATGTCGTGAGAAGTGTCGGTCATCTGAGCTGGGCTCCAGGTGGGTGGGGCTATTGGGAGAGGGTGGGGGCACCTATAGCTGCAACCGCGCGGAAGGCCTGCTGGCTGCGGCTGAGATCCGGCCGGCATTTTTCTTGCCGTTAAAACCCTAAGGTTGCTTTGCCCTCTTGTGTGGAGCTGCGATCTAAGGTGGTGGGAGCTGCAGGCGGGACTCGGGGAGGCCCAGGAACTAGAAATGGTGAGTGTGCGGCCGGGCGGGCGCGGGGACGGGGAGGAGGGGCGGATGGAGCCG